CCCCCCCCTCAGGCAAGGGGCAGGCGCGCACAAAAGAAGCGACAACTAAGGTGGCAAAAGGAGGGTTATGTGGTGCGCTCCCGCACGGGATCGAACCGCGGACCTTGGGATTAACAGTCCCACGCTCTACCTACTGAGCCACAGGAGCTTCCACATAAGGGCCGGAGTCCGGAAGGACAACATGTCCCCTTGCTTGGAGGCAGGCCAGACAATCAGGCGGAAGGGCAGGCAAAGGCAAGTCCTCCAGCAAACGACAAGAGGGGGGGCAATGGGGGAAAACAAAAAACACTCCCAGGGCAGAAACCAAAGACAAGGGGAAAAAAGAACAGAAAGACCCAGGCGCATGCGTGCGCCCGTCGCCGAAAAAAGGGTCACCGCCCGAAACCGCTCAAACAACCGCGAGGCCTGACCTCAACGCCAAGGCACATACACCCGCGCGGGAGAGGAGGGAAGGAACAAGGGCAGCTCATTTTGCACATTTTGTATTGGTGTTGGGACAAGCTCGGGAAAAGACGCACAAACATGTCCACACGCAAGGGAGGGGAGGGGAAGAGGGAAAAAGGAAGAGAGACAAGGCCAAGGGGGAGGGGGGAAGGAGAGAAAAGATATGATACAGCTGTGGTGGAAGGGAGGAGAAGGAGGCAGAGGGTATAGGGAGTGGAGAGGGGAGGGGCATGTGCGCCCAGAGGGAAAGAGGGACCAAGAAGAGAGAGAGAGAGAGAGAGAGAGGGAGAAAGAAAGATGCCGGGAGGAGAAAGGCGAGACATGTGCCAGAGAAGAAGAGGAAGAGGCCGAAGAGGGAAGGGATAAAAGCCAACGCAGGGGCGCGCACGCGAACACATGCACGCGAGTACATGTACATATGCACGCACGCACGCACACGCATGGATGACGGGATCCGATCTACCCCCGGCTGCTGTGTCTTTTCTCCGTGTGAATCGGCACGCATACGCATGCTGCCTGCCTTCCTCCCCGCGGCAGATGCTTTTCCTTGTGGTCAATGCTGACTCACTCGGCCACTCGCTCTCCTGGCCCCACACACATGCCTAGCTGCTCTCTTGGGGAGGGCCGCTACACATGGAGACGCACAAAAACACACACACACGCACAAACACAAACACAAACACACCGCAACCTACGGCCACCTATCGAGTCGCCTCGCTCAAGGAGAGCGCGGGGTGCCGGCCAGGGAGGGCGAGCTGTCAAGCCCCCCCTTGATCGAGACAACCGGCGAAAGCAAGGACGAGGAGCTGAGACCATCGTCAACCGAGAGGCCAGCCGCACGCTGAGTGGCACGGAGCTGCTCCTGGAGCAGGGCGTTCTGCTCGCGCAGGGCCTCATTCTCGGAGCGCAGGGCATCACCCAGGCCCAGGCGGGCCTCGGCATCGGTCATGCGCGAAGCCAGGGTCTCGGACTGCTCCTCGGCCACACGAGCACGATCCTCGGCCGCGCGAACCCGCGCATTGGCCTCCTTCTCGATGTTGCGGATGCGCTCGGAGGTGTTCATCTCGGCCAGGCGGACACGCTCCTCGGCGTTGCGGATGCGCTCCTCGGCCGCGCGAACACGCGCGGCAGCCGCCTCATCCGACAGATCGGAGCGCTGCTGGGCCGCGCGCGAGCGCTCATCAGCCGAGCGCACATGGCTGTTGGCCTCCTCCTGGATGCTGCGGACCCGGTCGTCGAAGACGGCGGCGCGGTGCTCGGCCTCGCGCGTCCGGGCCTCCAGCGTGCGAATGCGCTCGACATTCTGGATGGTGGTGCGCTGCAGATAGCGCACATACTCCACGGCCTTGTGGAGGATGGCACCCTTGTTGTTCTTCTCCATGATGATCACGCCATCCGGACCGGGGACCGGAGTGTTGCCGGGCAGGAGCTTGCCCAGCTCGTTGATGCCGTGGTTGATGGCCTCGCGCCGGCGGCGCTCCACATCGCGATGGTTGTCACGCCGGCGACGGAGGTACAGCTCACGGTTGTAGGACTCCGCCTCGGCCGGGGTGCGGTTGGCCACCATGGACCCGGGGGTGCCCTGGGGAATGAGCCCACTGCTGGGGGTCTGCTGCATCATGCTCCCGGGGGTCTGCTGCATGAGGGCACCGGGGGTGGAGCCGGGCGGCACCGACGCGGCACCGGACATCGGGGTGGTCAGACCGACACCCGGGTGCATGAGCCCGGCCTGACCGGGAACCAGCCCGGCCGGAGTCTGCGGCGGGATCAGGCCGGCCATCTGCGGCGCCATATGAGCACCACCGGCCACCGGGGTACCGGGGGCCTGGGGGAGGGACATGTTGATGGCGGCGGCGGCGGCGGCGGCGGCGGCGGCGGCGGCCGTGGCCGCGGACATCGTGTCAGCCGAGGGAGTCATGGCAGCCGAGGGACTCATGGCAACCGGGACAGGAGCGGGCGCGGCACCGGTCGGAGAGGGGGCTATGTGGCGAGGGCCACCAGCGTGAACAGAGGAGGGGAGAGTCGGTCAGGGGCGGCGGCGGCGGCGGCGGCGGCGACGGGGGGGGGAGGGGGGGAATAGGTAGAGACGGGCAAAGAAGGTGTGGAGAGTGTGTGCGCACCGGTGACCGACGGGGCGGCCGGGGGGGCAGTCGCGGCAGTGGTGGCAGGAGGAGCGGCCTCAGCACCGAGGGGAGACTGCGGCGGCATGGCCGAGCCGGCGGCCGGGGTGGGGGACGGCAAAGACGTCGGGGCGGTCTGGACAGCACCGGGCTGAGCGGCGTGGTGGCTGCAAGGTCGGGCGGGATGAGGGGGAGGGGAGAACATCAGACAGGGGGGCCCCGGGACCAAGAGAATCTAGAAAGAGGGAGGGAGGGAGGGGGGG